GCAATTTGGCACCTAAGGAGCAGATCAACACCTTTCATGTGAGCTGCGTTGGGTTCCAGGTTGCAGTCGGCTGCATGGGCATGACCTGAAAGTAAACCAGAGACTCACTGGATTATATTCCACAACAAAGCATGAATTTTGTAGTTATGACACATCATCTTTAAATAGCAACACAAATCTAGCCATTCACAATCGGCTGCTCTAGTTTGTATTTCCCCCACTGAAAGCAATCATTCTTCCAAGGTTTTTATTTGGATACTGAATAATTGATTTGGCACATACCCAGTTTGTGCAGTCACTGTGTTTTTGATCAGAGCAGCCCCCTATCTAAGTTTTTCATACAGCTACAAGTTGTTTGTCAAAACGAAATCTCATTATTTCACGGAGAAAAACATTTTCATGCAGTGACTTGCATTATGAAGTGCAGTTACTATAGAGGTTGCTTTTAACTTTGTTTAGAAATGATGTGTTAGTGGTGTAAATGTGTCTGCATTATTGAATGTTTGTAATGTAACACGCAGTACATTTACATGTGTTGTCATTAGTTTGAAAGTGATAAACTAAATACAATAGTCCTAATACATCAATGTCCTCACTCTGGTGCCTGTAAGGAGAAGCATAATCCAACAAGTCCTGGAAGACACAAATTTGTTGCAGTGCTGTTTTATGAACAGGAAAAATAGTTGATCTTCTTAACCTAAAGAAATTTGTCCAACTATCAACATTTTTTTGTATGCCTTACTTGGATCCTTTCTTATTATTTATTTTATTTTCATTTACAGTGAAACGTCTCATTTTTCTGTATGCATAAGTTGGAGTCAGACATCCCCACGTCACCGACATCTACACCTCCAGATGCAGGAAGAGGGCCACCTGCATCATGAAGGACCTCACTCACCCAGCACACACACTTTTTGCTCCACTCCCCTCAGGAAAGAGATTGAGGAGCATTAAGTGTAGAACCACTAGACTGAGGAACACCTTCTACCCTGAGGCTGTTAGACTCATAAATCCCTAATTACAATTATCACTGTGGGGGGGAAAAAATCACTGTAGTGCCACCTGATTGTTGATATGTGCTGCTAATCCATGCTGCTGATCTCATGCTGCTGATTTATTTAATGCTGCTGTGTTCTTTTGTACTCATCTACTCACACAGACTCAAGTTCGTTCTGCTGTTGTTCAGTGTATTGTTTTTGTACTATTAGTGCTTATTGTATTCTTAGTTTAGCATATTTCTTAGTTCATTTAGTTTATCTTAATCTTGTTACTGTTTTTCTTGACATTTTATACTTTTGTTGGCTGTAACTGGGACCCTGTGTACACAATTTAATTCCACCACATGTACCACATATGATATGAATGACAATAAAGAAACCTTGACCTTGATAATGCGGTTCATTCAAATGTAGTTTTTTATTATGCCCATCTAAGGCGGACATATTATTGTATAGTGTCCGTCCATATTTCCACACAGCTGTATGTCTGTGCACTTTATCTTATCCTGCCCATAACTTCGAACTTGCTCAAGATAGTACAGACCCTTTGCACGTATGCATCACAGGCGTCAAAATAAGTGGTTTCCATTTGTCCGACAGCCAGATCTCGCCTCGAGATTGTCCAGTGGACAACCAAGTGAAATAACCATGGATTAAAGTTCTCTGTCACCTCGATGGATTGCCATCATGTTTAAAAATGGAAGGGTGTAAAAAGTAGCGTTTGTTTGAGTATCATCATTATTGTACAAACATGTCCAACTTGTTTGCGTGACTAAACTCCAGGTCCGGGAGAGGGAGCGTCGTCACGGGAACGCATTCAGTCTGTTTGTGTCTCACGTTGAGGAAGAAGACTGCTTTTGCTGCTTTACTTCTTATAATTAAACAGTATTAATTCTAAAAGACAAATATTTACAAGCCCCAGATCATACCAAAGATGTGTTTAACTTTGAAATTTTACCTTAAACTCACAGAGTTCTCACTATGAGAGATTCAGTTTCAGGTGTTTGTGTTTTATCATAAATGTCTGCAAAATGCAATTCTACACAATGTTTTAACAACATCAAGGTGCTGTGTCTGTTTGGATGAGATAAACTTGATTATATTTAGAACCATACTGAGAGGTATCTGTACTCTGATGAATGTAATTTAATAAATGATCAAATATGAAAAATATGTTGTATTAAATTACTAGATGAGCTGAAATTCAGTTATCTCTTGTGGAACCAACTTCCAGTTTCTGTCCGTGAGGCTGACACATTGTCCAGTTTTAAGACTTTCCTTTTTGATAAATCCTATAGTTAGGGTCGGCTTGTCGTGCTATCTTAAGCTTAGACTACTAGAGGACAAACTGACCTCATTTCCTTAACTGATTTGTTAAAATTGAATACTTTTCATTTGATACTATTTCTGTCAACATTTGATTCTTGACCTGCCATTGTGTATCTGTTCCTACCAAACCCAGCCAGTCGAAGCAGATGTCCTGAGCCTGGTTCTGCTAAAGGTTTCTTCCTCATGAGGGAGTTTTTCCTTTCCACTCTTGCCTTCATGCTCAAGATGAGAGTTATGTGATGGAGTTAAATTCAAAGCAGTCTGCTCCTCAGATAAATAATGTTAAATTATTATTTTTATATAAGTTTCTATTTAGTGTTAGTGCCCTGAGATAACTTATGCTGTGACTTGTCGCTATATAAATAAACTGAATTGAATTTAATTGAAATCCTGTAAATATAATTCCTTTGTATGAAATAGTCATTTTAGGGGAGAAATCTGTCAGTATGGCAAATAAAAAAAAGATATGTTTTATGTTAAGTTTATGCTCAGCAAAGGACTTTCTGTGCTATAACTTAAAAAATGCATCTGACATTCCCTCAAGCTGCCCCAGCATCATTTGCCCCACTCTGAGCCCTTTTATTCCAGTTCCATTGGAAATAGGACATATTAAATAGAAATGCCACAACAACCAAAATTTGAAATATTTTGGAAATCAAATTTTGGTTTTGTATTATTTACATGGACAAGTATCCTAGTCAGATTCGTTGATCTGGTCACACTTAAACTGTGCGTTAGCCTCTCCATCACACAAGATGACAAACACACTATGCTCTCCACAACCTTTCAAAAGATGGCTGGATCGCAGATGATTTGGAACCACCCATTATTTTGAAGGCAATCATGACTCTGCTAAACTCTTAGCACTTGGCAAACAGATTGTTCCCTAGATGCTCTCTTGCTCCCTCACCACATTCCATACGTCCAATTAGACACGACTCTCTGACAGTGTCAGGAATCTAGAAGATTGCACGCTAGCCCAACCGCCACAATTATCACATCTGCTTCAGATTGTTTTCATGATCTTGTCATGATCACAGTCATAGCATTGGCAGGAGGCCTTTGTAGCCAATCTTGCATCAAATGCTTGATGATCAAGCCTCATCAGTGTTCACAGTCTCCATGTCATAGATCCACTGCCACCATTTTCTCTCCTAGTGGTAGCTGGGATGTGCTCCAACCTGTTGCAGCCTTTTGCAGCACACCTTAAGGAAAATAGAAAGTTTCTCCACCCCATCCTCAACCATGTGTTTAAAAGCCCAATTTTCTAGTCTTTCTGTCATGCCCCAACCTTTTTGAAGTATCAAAAATAGCAACGCTCACATTTTTCAACTACATATATGTAAGATAAGACAAACTTGGTATACCGCAACTGTTGCAGAAACCCGCCCTTGTACATTTCACAACATGAACACACAACAGAACAACAGAAAATGAAAATATAGAACAAAATGGAAACCACGTTATCATCGGTAAACAATGAAACCTCTAGGATCATTGTCTTGCACGGTGTCTATATACTGTACATTATAAACTAAAGTTGTCTTCCTCCATTGTTTATTTTCTGGGCTCTTATGTCCATACTTCTGATCAGAAAACTCTTGAACAATGGTTCCTAAGGCCATGTGACCAATGGTTAAAAATGAAGACCAAAGTCAGAGCCTTTGCAACAGCTTCTCTGTTCCCACAAGTCTTTTTGCTGTTTATTTCATCCCCTGGCTTGTCATTTGCTTCTGTCTTCATCTGCTGGCTTTCATTATTCCATACACACTCTTGCCTTCATTGTCATGCCCTTTACCAAGCCCCCCATTTTCCTTTATAGGCTTACTTCCATCATCCTCTGTCACCATTAACCCATTCATCATCTGCAGCCCTGAACCCATTCATCCAGTTTTATATTATTTTTATGTATTTTAAGCCCAAGCTGCTTCTGTTCTCCTTTTGCCTCAAATTTTCTATCCAAACATTCATCTTTATCTCTGCTTTGCTGTCATTTTTATGTTTCTTTACATTCCAGTCAAACCATTAATTGAGCTCTAAAAAAATAAGTTGTGATTGTAATTTTAAAAATGGTCCCATTTTACTACACCAGCATCCAACCTTTTCTTGAACTGTCTCTATTTCTTGGCACATCCCTCCATTACCCAACCAGCATGTAGCACTGAACCCTCCCTTCTTCCCATCCACCCTCTGTTTTAGCCCCCACTCGCTTCCTCTCCCTTTCCTGCTTCAGTGTACCCTGCTTCCCATCTGAATCTGTCTCCTCCTCCTCTCGGGCTCGCAACCAGAGCAGATCTCCATCGGCCGTCCTGATGGAGGTCAGCCTGCTCTGCGTTGATCGTGAGTGGCAAAAGGGATAGGAAGGCAAGGTGAAGCGTGTTCGATGGCTGTCGTTTCGTTATGTGCTGGGCAAGGAGGAAAAAAGGGAGGGAGAGGAAGGCAGAGCAATGAGAGGACAGTGTGATAGAGAGAGAGAGAGAGCAGCGGGATAGAAGCAGCGCAAGAGAAAGAGAGAGAGTGCTCCGGCGCTCACAGCTCACATCGCTGGCTGGCTTGCCTGATCACTGTTGACGAATGAGCTGTCTATCCACAGGGCTGGGAAACGGCAGCTTGTGACAAGCTGGGGAGAGAGGAACATGAATGTAATGCGTACCTTACCTCGTTTACTTTCAGATACCGGCCAGAAGAAGACCCCAGAAAAGAAGGATGGGAGGCGCTTATCATTCCAGAGACCCAAAGGAACCATCGAATATTCTGTGAGTAACGTGCAGGCAACTCCGATCTTGTCTCTGACTAAATGTTGTCATGTGTTAAAATGCCTTCTTCTCTGCTCGTGCTCTGCTGTGTGTGTTTGTCAAGCTCCAGGAATATTGGTGATGCAGCAGTTGTTTGTGTTTTGGAAGAACTGTTGGATGGAAGCTCATTAATAATGAGGAGAAGCGTTTTATGGATTTTTCTAGTCCACCACGTGCACCTCTTTCTGAAACTGTTTACATAAAGAGCACTGTGCATTTGTAAACAAACATGCAGCATAACTGCTAGATATCCTGAGGGAAATTAGGATCCTCTGTCACAGATCCCAGTGAAGCACTGCATTGCTTAACTCCATTTTGCATGTTGACATATCGAAAAGAGACGGGGAATTGTGACGGCTCTGGTCCTTCCTCAAGCTGGTCTAGATCAGGGCAGACAGACAAGAGGACGGGCTGGATGTGTTATTTGTTTTTCCGCTCGTTCCCTGTGCTGCATATCAGCAAGCATTCCAACACACAGCTCGGTCCGCTTGCGAATGACCTTCCAACTGCGTTGTCATTTCTATTGATTTAGCTGTTGTGTGGAAGGAGGGGTGAGGATACAGAGAGAGAGGGTGAGGACTCCTATTCCCAGGCATGAACTGAAAATGAAGCTCTCTGCTTTGCCTGGTTGTGTTCTTCAAATGACCCTGAAATCCAGCTGCAGACAGACGTCTTTTTCTCTGTAGCAGCTGAGAAGAGTGGGAGTGCTGTGGCTCAGCTCTGGTCATATGCCTGTCTTCTGTTTAAATAGACAGAAGAAGGAAGGGAAGAGGCGAGGCGAGGGAAGTAGGGAGGGTAGGGTTTGTGGTCTGCTGTTGTCATTCCTATCCTTGCTTCTTGTTCATGTTAGTCTCCCTCCTGTCAGATCTCGTTTCTTTTTGATTGTAGCTTTCAAAGTAATTGACCCCCATCGTTCATAGCACTTTTACTGCCTGCTAACCCTGCCAGTCATCTGAACCCTGCTAATTGACAAGGCCCTTGTTTACTTCATTGGGCCTGAACAACCTTGTGCATTATAGCATGGTATTTGTTAAAGCTAAAACATGTCTAAAAAGAAACAGAAGGACAAGAGAGGATCGGCATGTAGGACGTAAATGCTGATGATAAAGAAAGACGAGGGAAAGGTGTGAATTCATATGGCATACCAATCCTGTTCCTGTCAGCCATCATTCTCTCTCTGTTTCCGCTGTATAACCCTCTGCTAAATTACTGATAGTATGATGGATGAATTGAGCGCTGCCGATGATTTTGTTCTGCGACTTGACATGCTGCAGCGGCAGGAAGAGGAGGCTCAGGGCCGCAAAGAGTCACTATAACCAAGCATTTGAGACACCGTCCCATTGATCGACGAGCAGCTTTATCTCAAACTCATCTCCCTCACCGGCGATACGGTGGCCAATGTTTCCGCATGCCGCTCGACAACAGATAAGTTTATAAATATTGCCTGGTATCCACAGGAAAAAAGAAAATTTCCTCTTATGCGTCCTTATCATTATAATCTTCCTCCTTCTCCTCCCCCCACAGCTTTACCTCACACGCACAAGCTTATTTTTCTCTTTTATTTTTTTGTATTGAGAAATAACCTGTGCAGCTGCATCCCATCTGCCTAGACACTGATAACGCCAGGCCACTCACATATGTCCAGCTATTGGCTGACCTGCATCCAATTAAACAGTGTTTAAAGTGTCTGGGAACAAACGAGGTAGATAAGGAGACATGAAGATGTAGACGGAAAGGGGCAAAGAGTCACACAAGGGTGAGTCACATCATGTGGAGGGGAAGGCAAGCCTAACAAACAACCTGTGAGAACTGTTTGTCTGTCAAAGTCAAAGAAAAGGAAGATTCACTCCAGACACCACGATCCTTTGTGCTTTACTTTGGGTTGTTTACAAGTTGAGAAATTTATGCCTGATTCGCTGCATCTAATTTGCTGTTTTGGTCTTTATTTCACTACAGATGTTTATTCTTGTAAGGAGTAAGTAGTTGTGGCTGTGAAAATTTCTACCAAGTCAAAAAAGGCAGGACGTTAGAGGAGTCATAAGCAAAGTGCACCCCAGGATTTCAGTACATTATCACACATGGTTTCAGAAATGTTTCAACTTGTGAAACTCTGAGGTAAATATTAACCCTCCTGCTGCCCTTGACCCCTGAGGCCTCAGTTTTAAAACTGAGGTCTCATTTTCACTCATGGACAACAGGTTATAATATTTGTGTTGTACTTTTGCTAAAGTACTACAGAATTTTATTTAGGTTTCTTCTTGCATTGTCATCCTGCTTCCAGCATTTTATTGTGGAACGTTTAAAGAGCACATTGAAAATAAAATTATAGTTGTGCCAGTGTGATATTAATAACTTTTGGCGTTACAGCATGCTGCATGTATGTCTAGCAAAATTCTCACTTCCTCGCTCATCCTCTCATGTGCTCTCCCTTCTCCTGGGAAAGTCTCAGCTTTTGTTGGCACTGCTTCTAGTTACATGCAGAAGTTATTGGACTGCCATATATTTCATCTAAAACATAGCCTCCAAATCTCCCAAAGTTTTTGTTGTGATGTTAGCTTGATGTAACCTCTGATAAACCTCTACAGTTGCCAGTTATTCAAAATATTTGTCTGCCCATTACTTTGTTTGCTTAAAGTTGATCATATCTGGGTGTGTCCTTGTTGTGGAAATTGAAACGTGTCACCCACAGCCCCTATGGTTGGGTACATTACATTCAGAAATGACAATAAGCTCTCATTGCATTTTGTATAGTGTCACTAGAGGACACTTTGAATGAGAAGACTGTCTGGATATGAGAATAGGCCCAGGGGGCAAAAAAGTAAACAGTGTTCATCATTTAATCATTCTGGTTAAAAACAAACAAAAAAAAAAGTAGTTCAAAATCATGTGTTCTGGTTAGTTTTAGAAAAGCAGAAAATGCCAGATATTTCTAGAAAAACAAACCATGTATTAGCTTTGAGGCATTTTAGAGCAAAAGATTTTCAGCCTTGGTAGCAATGTGGCCACAGGGATTGGAAGGTCAGTCGGTCAGTCGGTCAATTGAGAAGCCAGTCAGTCGTTTTATTACTTTGGTTCAGGTTGTTAAGATTGCAGAGAAAATTGGAACAAGAATTTGTCATGTCCAGAGAATAAATCTTGTTGGCTGGTGATCCATTAAATTTTTGTCTACATGAAGGAAATGAAAGTTGCCACTTAGCCTGCGTAAAACGTCTAAATCATATAGATAGATTTCAAATGTTACCAAATTCTTAAAGGGTTTGCTCTGATATGTTTATATCTCTATTTTACCCATACCATGAGGTTGACATATATAATTTTACATAAAATGTGTCAACAACATCCAAAGTAGCCCTGGAGGCACCTCAGAGTTGATACATTTTTCCAGATTTCATCCTGTGGGATAAAGCCTTTGAACTCTATCATAAAAATGTTGATTCCTGCCTCGCTATCGTTTGCAAGATCAAAATCTTTCAATGTTGGGACAGTTTTTAAACAATAAATCATAGAAAAATGATATGTATAAATACATACAATAAAATTGTAAAAGTTTTAAGTTTAAATCTAGTCTGAGACCTTTCTATGTGGAGTTTTCATGTTTGTCTTGTGCATGCCTGGATTTCTTCTTCCCATAGTCAAAAAACTTTCCTGTTAGGTTGACTGGTTGTTCTAAGTTTACTTTAGCTGTAAGTTGTTGTTTGTCTCATGTGTCTGTGTTGGTCTTGTGATGTACAAGGCTCCCCACTGGCTAAAAAGAAAACCTGGGATTAGGGTTAGGGTTGTCCATAGCCACATTGACCAGTCCATCTTGATGCTGCCTCTGGTCATTCCATAATCACTGATGGAGCTGAGACATCATGAGAAATAATGTAAGCATTGCAAAATGAAAGGCAGTGTGGAGCAGAACTCAACTGTGTTGAAGTAGTGTGCAGTGACTTAAATGTTTGTAAGACATCTCTCTCGTTGTTTTCAAAATATGAAGAATTAACTCTAGCAATCCTCTTTGGTTAACCTTTTTAAAACTAAATACAAAGTTGCTCTGCATCATCACTGATCTTCCCTCAGTAATAAATCTTTGTTTTTGTTTAATTATACAAATGTGTGGTCGCACAGACCATATGCCATCACTACATCCCATTATTGAGCCACAGCACTGGTTTACCTTTCCACATGTCGACCATTTCACCTCTGTTACTACCTCCTTTGTGACACAAAGGTTTACCAGGGGTGGATTAGCAACAACGTTGGCCTATTCAGAAGTCTTCCAAAGTGGCCAGAAGGTGTCTAAGTCATGGCCTGAGGTGTCTTGTGAAAGAGCCTTTTGTGTCATAAATCTTTAAGTTCAGCGGATCTTTATAGGACTGCAAGGATGCAATGTGTTCATTACAGAACTTTAGGGACATTAGATGAGTTATACGCAAAACACCAGGTGAGTGAGGAAGCACACACAGACACAAGCACACATCGATGGCAAACTTACCTCCACACCCTGCTAACAATCAGTCAGTGATTGCTTTATTAAGTGCTGAGTTGCACAAAAGATCCCACAGTTAGAGCTCTTTCAAAGCTTTATGTCTGTACGCAGGAGAACTCAGTGGATGATGGAGAGACAATGGGACAGGAGGAGTGTGAGGAGTTCAGGAAATAAAGAATATGGTTTAAAAATTGTGCGGGTTTGACATAAAGACTTTGTTTTTGCCATGTGAGTCAATTTGCCACATATTGAGTACAGATATATACATTTAGCATTATGCTAATACACACTGTTGGTGTGATGGATGTGATTATATAAAATTGCAACAATGTACTAAGCAGTAGGTTCTGAGGTCTGAGCACAATGTGTGAGTCACTGGCTCACTGGACCTCATACCAAACTGGCCTATGTGGCTCATCAGGCCCATAAAGCAGGACACGGGGACCTCACACTTTAGGGTGGAGGCAATAAGAGACACACAAAAGTGCAT